TATTATTNTTATTNTTATTATTATTATTTATTATTATTATTGTCATTATTATTATTGCTATTATTATTATTATTGTTATTATTAATCATTATTTTTTTATAATGCATAAAATAAGCATTCCAAAATGTCGGAATTTGGAAATTAAAAAACATTAAAAAACAAAAAAAGTAAAATCATAAAAAGAAAAATATCAAATATATAATGTTTGGATTTTTTCAATGCTAATTATATATTATGTTGTATTAATAATTTTAATTGAATTGATAATATCCTCAGAGCTTGCATTGTTCTAAAAATTTCTATGCAGTTAAGAACGCAAAGTTTCGGAAATTCCATTGAACTTACGATTCAAATGATAAACGGCCTAATAATGATAACATTCATCAATCCTTGCAACATCCAATTACTCTTATCACTTAGTAAACATTTATCAATCTCTTAACACTTATCATTTATCAGTCCTATCAGCCTATCAACATCTATTAATAATCCTGTGATGAATAATAAACATCTATCAATCACATGTCATTTATCAATTCTATCAATTTTTTTTTTTTGCAACTTTGCTACTATTTATTATCCTAATGTAATTATAAACTTAATTTTGATTATTTCTGATAACAATTTTTTTTTTAATGACCAAAATTACATAACAATGATAGCAATATGATATCATTTTAAATGATTAACCTGTTTTTTAGCTTCATTATCAAAGTGCTTCCTAATATAAATACTTGATACAGCCATTGGCATCAAGTTATTGATACGTGTCACACAACTATGCCAACGCATTTTTGGCACTTGCATTACTGTAAAAATACTTTTTTTTTTGCATCTTTACATTATTTAAAAGTTTATCAAAAAAAAGAAAGGGAAAAAACTGCTGAAATTTTACAAAACAAAATTGTAGTAATAATTTTATTTTATAAAAAAATTATGAAAAAATAAATAAATAAATAAATAAATAGAAATAAAATAAAGTAAAATAAAAAAAATAAAATGAAAAAATGAATAAAAAATAGGTGTTTTCCTCTTTTTCAAATAAATAATAATTTATTTTTAAAAAATGATCCGCTTAAAATGACCTGAAAAAAATGATCCGAAATGATCTGAAAAAAATGATCCGAATATAATCCATTCAAAAAAAAAATGAGAAAAGAAACGAAATAAAATGATAAATCGAATTTTTTCTTTTTTCCTTTTTTACTTATGAAATTTGAAATGATCTGAAAAAAAATGATCTGAAAATGATCTGCTTAAACAAAAAGTGAAAAAATACCAAAAAAAAAAA